CTCTGGGCCTGCGCCTACCTGCTGCTGCTGATTGTCCTTGTCGTCGGGCCTTTCCTAACTGCACCGATCTGGTTGACGGCCATGTTGTTTCCGCCTACTATGATCTGATTCCGGATGCGTCGCCTGTTCTATGAGGGCTCTAAATATCAACTGAATGGGGTAGTGGGGGATATACTTCAAGCACTGGCTGTTGGTATTGATGAGTATATTTCTGTGTATCTTCGTCCGACAGCACGACAATCCTGTGCTGCTACCCTAGCTTCACAATTGGCTCTTTGGCGTGCCGCAGTTTTGTGTCACTGTGAGTGCAATATGGCTGCTGCATCACCTTTGTGACAGCCTTGCTCTTTGCGACACGCACATACGGCCCTGCGTCAGCTCCAAAAATCCTTTGCAATTGTTCCTGTGGAATCCCTCTACTAAAAGAGAGATCCTCCTCACGTGCCTATATGATAACCCATCTATTACTGATGCTGATGGCACACCCTTCTCTGTATCTAAAAAACCTGGCAATTTCGCAAGGAAGTGGCTACAGAAAGGTGTATGGCAGATCCGGGACGAAGAAAAGGACCAATGGAGAACACCAGAAGAACTGAGAAGCAAACTGAGAGGCCTTCGCAACATAGAGCTGAACAGAATTCTGTTAACCCAGGTAATACCTGAAGAGTGGATTCAGGTCATCAAAAAAGATAACGGCAGCATGGTGGAGGGAGGAAGGGTGCAACGGCTCAATTTATTGGATTGAGTTGCCTCCCTCAACAGCCTCAGCTTGGACCAGGGGCAAAACATTCTGATCAAACAGCTTGGAGGGCCATCCCTCCGTGACGGTGACAATTGGATGGAAATTGGGGTCTCGGAGCACATACACAAGGGCAGGCGGCAATTTACGATCATGGTGGATGGCTCTCCGAAAGACGAATGAAAAGTGGATATCGGGAGGATAGGCTGTATCCTGTCGGATGAGTCCTCATCCTCCTCAAGCATCATGTTAACAGACTACTCTTCCAAACTGGGGTATTCTCTGCGATCGAAGGCGTCTACTCTCCAGATCAGTGTATGGAACAGTTGGTAAAAGAGAGGAGCACATGAACACAGCCGTCTGTTCAATAACACATGGGTCAAATTCTTCATTACTTTGTTTCTCAATGTAATGGAAGTTAAGGTAGCCAGTCTGCAGTGGCTACATCTCCATTCATGCGTACCAACGGCAGACTGGTGCGCCAGTAAAGGCATGGATGCCTCCCCCCACTGCGATGTCTGTACGCATGAATCGTTGGAGGACTCGGGTCACATGTGGTGGGAATGTATTGTGGCAAGAGGCTTATGGGACTGGGTGAGCAGCTTGTGGCACTTCGCCTACGGCCCAGAAGTTGTCTGGACATAGGACTTTATTCTCTATGGAAACCGTAACACAGATCAAGTGGCTATTATATCCAATAAATTCAGAGTCATGGGCTTTTGGGTGCTGTGGATGGCAAGGAGGGACAAAAGATTCAACAGTAAGTACTGGTCCCCGACAGTCATTCACAACAAGTTCCAGTTTGCAATCCGTAATCTCATTTGTGCAGAATAGTGGAAGGTACGAAGGGCCAAAGGAACACTCAATAACCCGGCAGCGAGAAGCATAATGCAGAACACATGGAACACCAGTTTTAAATGGGTATCATTTACGGACCAAGGACAGTTGGTCATCTCAAAGCACTTGTGGGACGAGGTAATAGAACAGTGCCCCCAGGTAGAGGCTTGGGGAGACTGCTAGTCTACTGTTTAAGAGAGATCGACCTATAGAATTCGGTTTATATTTCTGTTCATACAGCCTATCGGGCTGAGAGACTCTATAGGCTGTATACGGTACAGTTAGCAAGTGACTCGCAGCGAACTTGGGGAATGCTCCCAGATTGGGAAGCCGTTCTTTTTTTTTCAGGGGACGATGGACCTGTTTCTCCAGCAGGTGTAGCTCCCCACCAATGAACTGGAGTCATCCACAGAGCTCCTTGATCTCGTTGGTTCACTCACCACCGCGAGATCGTAGGGCAAAAAAAAAAAAAAGACCAGATCTCATCAGACAATCAGGCAAACCCTTGGGTTGAGTGGTTCTCTACTTCCTAAAAGTGGTCTTTCTGGAAAGGACGCTAGACCTGGTTTCCAGCCTGTTTTTCTTTCTCTGCTTTTGAGGACACTGGTCCTGCTTTCCACTATGGTACCAAAGACAGGACGCAGGACCTGTTTTCCAGCAATCCGGGTTGAATTGTGGGGTCCCTGGACCCAATCCTTGTTATTTAATATGAAAATAGTTGTCCACTCCCCCCCAAAAAACAAAAGAAACCATCACATAATCTGGCTATCTGTTGTAAAAACTGGTATTGTTTTAAGCTCTCAGCCCATCTTAACAGTCCTACGTATTCTCGGCCCGCTGAAACAGCGGCTGACATTCTGAATAGCCATGCACTTTGGAACAATCATTGGAATTATCCTCATGATGACACATTGCCGTATCTTTATTGCGCTCTTAAGGCCCATAAGTCTCCTCCCACACTCCGTACTATTCTTGGTATCACTGCCCGCAACAGTCTTTCTTATTCTTTTTCTCATACGGCCCAGTGGAGTGACCTGCGCCCCTCCCAACGAGTCCAGCGTTTGCATCACGGACGGCCTCACAAGCCTGTGGCTAGTACAACACCTACATCGGCTCGTTTGAGTGCGGCACTTCAAGGCGTCATCCGTACTCTTCGCGAAAAAGATAATCAACTCTTCCAATCCGAAGCTATTCGACGATGTTGGATTGTCCAGAGCAGTGACGAGGTCATGCTTGACCTCAAAAAGAATAAAGCTTCTCTCCGAGGTCTGGCCCCCCATACGGTCGATTTCACTACTATGTATACTAATCTTTCTCATCAACGGATTCTTAACAATGTTGCTAAGGCTGTTGATGAGGCACATGCCTATGCTTTTGCACAGACACAGCAGCATACACGGACACACTGATCCTGTGTTGCTCTTCGTATGGTGGTCCGTGGACCGTGTGCAAGGGAATGGACTATGGATATGGGATCTGACACTCTTTTTGTATTTGACATTCTTCAACATCTTAGGTTGATTGTCACTAATACATATTTTTATACAGCGAATGGCCTTGTTCGTCATCAAGACGTGTGTATTCCCATGGGTACAAACGTTGGTCTTGAGATTGCTAACCTCACACTCTATTGGGATGAGGCGCAGTATGTGGACAACCTTCAGCGTGTGGATCCCTCTGCAGCTCGCCGATATGTTTTCACTTATCGGTTCATTGATGTTGTTCTTACTTTTGGTTGTTTGCCACCATCGCCAACCTATTATGGTCTTGAATGGAAGGAGACCACTGCGGCTGATGGCTCTTGCACTTTTTTAGGTGTGAAACTGCAGACACGAGCAAATGAATCTCCTTCTTCTTCTTCTTCTTCTTCTTCTTCTTCTTCTTCTTCTTCTTCTTCTTCTTCTTCTTCCTCCTCCTCCTCTTCCTCTTCCTTTTCCTCCTCCTCCTCTTCCTCCTCTTCCTTCTCTTCTTCTTCCTCCTCTTCTTCTTCGTCGTCTTCGTCGTCGTCGTCTTCGTCGTCGTTGTCTTCTTCTTCTTCTTCTTCTTCTTCTTCTTCTTCTTCTTCTTCTTCTTCTTCTTCGTCCTCTTCTTCCTCTTCGTCTTCTTCTTCCTCTTCTTCAACTTCTCCTCCTCCTGCACCTCCTTCCTCTTCCTCTTCCTCTTCCTCTTCCTCTTCTTCTTCTTCGTCTTCGTCGTCTTCGTCTTCTTCTTCTTCCTCTTCTTCCTTTTCTTCCTCTTCTTCTTCTTCTTCTTCTTCCTCTTCTTCTTCTTCCTCCTCTTCTTCTTCCTCTTCTTCTTCCCCTTTTTCTACTTCGGCATCATTCGTTTCTTTGTCTTCTTCTTCTTCTTCTTCTTCCCCACGCCGGCTGAGACCGCCCCCTCCCTTATCTTCGTTGTCCATATTGGGATGTCAGCAGGCTCGTTCATTCTCTCCTCCTCCTAGTCCCTCTTCCTCTCGACGTCGTGTTGATGCTAATCTGCAGGTTTTTTTGTCTTACCGACAGCTTGCTCTGCCACGTCGACGACGTTCGTCATTTACGCGCCGACCCTGCCAGATCAGATATGGCTTTCCTGTGGTGACCGATGCAGATCTGCGGGCAAACCTACCAAATATTTGTGGTTTTGACAGCCACAAATGTCGGCCTATAGGCTTATCAACATCAATGTTATACTGCATCCCAATTTGTTACGATTGCTTATCAGCTTGACGCTGTTGAAAATCAGTTGTTGTATGACCATAATAGTCCAACTCCTGAAGGTAGTAACTATGCTACCTCAGGAGGTTTTACTGTAAATGTCTTACAGTTAGCATTCCACGGTCGCCACCTTCTTATGCATCATGCGACGCCAGGCAATGACCTCAATAACCATCCTCATATTTCTGCCTGTATTTTACACAGACCCGGGCATTATATGGCGCTCATTCGTGCAGCTGCCCAGTGGGAACTGTGGGATGGTGGGACGATGAGTCGGGCTATTTTCAACGTAAAGGAATTTTTGCGTGCATTGTTGAATCATACTTTATTCATGATTATTGACCGACTCTCGTGTGACACCTATCGGGATAGAGACGCGGTGCGCCTTGGCTGTGGAATGCATCATCTATGCCATAGCCGTTATCAATCTATTGTGACTGCCGCCGGCTGTATTGAAGGGTGTCCAACATTTCCTCATTGTACACAGCCCTATCACCCAGATATACGTTGTCCCTTTTGTGCCCAAGGATGCTATCAAAACTGCATGATGCCGCACTGTGATGAGCGTCCTGCTGTTTTTTTGACATGTGGACAATGTGTCCTTTGTTAGGACTGTTTTGATGGGATGGTTCATGCTAGCCGTCCTGTTGAATGCTGTGTTGGCACAACTCTCCTTGGGTATCCTTGTGAACATCCACATCATCCTCACCGTAGCTGTCCTATCTGCTGAGGTGGGGACAAATAAAGCTTTTGACACTACCGACAGATACAGAGTTAAAGAAAAAAAAGGAAAAAAAAATAAAATAAAATAAAATTACGTTGATTTGTGGGATGTGCTATTTGCTTTATGGCAATTGAATTATCTGTGGGATGTGTCATTTGCTTTGTTTGACGGATAGGCTTTCTTTCCCTGTCAGGTTTGGTTTCCTCCTCCTTTTCCTTACCTCTTTGCCTGTTGGCTGCGTGCAAGTGGGTCCTTGTGACACATGGGGATGGGGGCAGCCAGTGCTCAGCCTGTCATCCACGTGGCTCGCCTTGTACGTAAGAGTCCTTCCTTCTTTTCCTTTTCTTGTTTTGTTTTTTTCCGCCTTTGGGCTTCGATTCACAGCGTAACAATATATATATATCATGTGAGTCAGCCACGTTCGCTATGTTCTACACATGCCTCCTTGCACCATCTTCAACAGCACTTTGCCATTGTCCCAGTGGAGAAAACATCACACAGTTTGACAATTTGCTGCAAGAATTGGTATCTGTTTCATCTCTATACCCATTTGGACAGTCCCACTTGTACTCGTCCTCAAGAGTTCGTTGCTGATGTCCTTGACCACCATGCAGTGTGGAATCACAATTGGGCTTACACCCACACTGATACCCTACCTTACCTTTACTATGTACTCAAAGCTCACAAGTCTCCTCCAGCTCTTCGCAACATTCTTGGAGTCACAACACAAAATAATAGTGTTGTTCCCCCGCGTGCTCACCCTTGTCCAACAATTCGCACCATTCATGAAGGACCTGCTCACAAACCCTTGGTTAGCACAACGACTACTTCGTCGTATCTCAACGCTGCTTCGCAAGGAGTGATCTCTACTCTTCGTGAGAAAGACACTGAGCGTTATCAACAGGTTGGTGTTCGACGGTGCTGGATCGTTCAGAGTGCCGATGAAGTGGCGATTGACCTGAAAAACAATGCATCGTCTCTTCATGGCCTCTCTCCTCGCACTGTAGATTTTACCATAATGTACACCAACCTTCCTCATGACCGCATTTTGAATAATGTGGCAGAAGTTGTTGATGAAGCTCATGCTTATGCCCTTTGGCAAGCTCGCACGCATTCACGCTGTGTTGCCCTCAACATGGTTATTCGAGGACCTAGTTGTGGCCAATGGACGACTGATTCAGGCCCAGGTACCCTTTCTGTTTCTCAGATTCTCCAACATCTTCGCTTTGTTGTACAAAACATTTTTCTATACACGAGAGATGGCACGCGTCGGAAAGAAATTATCGGTATTCCAATGGGAATGAATGCTGGCCCAGAAATTTTTAATCTGATGCTGTATTGGGATGAAGCACGCTTTRTTGATGACATTCGTCAACATTATCTTCAAGCTGCTCAACAATATGCCTTCACTTATCGCCTCATTGATGATGTTCATGGGGACAATTATCTCCTCCACCAGAACACTATGGGCTTGAGTGGAAGGAGACTAGCTACAAATGGCTCCTGTACCTTTTTAGGATGCAGCTACGGGTCCGTTCCGATGGCTCGCTTTGCATGAGCGTCTCTGATAAAGCGGTTGCTTGGGACTTCCTTGTCATTTGTTATCCAAGTGCGACCTCCAACATCCCTTCCCATCAACCGACTGGTGTGTTCACTGGGCCCAAGGCAAAGGTGCACTTTCATGCAAAATCGGTCAAAATTTTCCCAGCCCAAATTTCAGAAATTCTCAGAAAATTTTCAGAACATGGCAACAGAGGAATTGAGGACAGTCCAAAAGACACCAAATTTGGCACACAACAACCTTGACCGAAAACAAAAACAAAACAAAAAAACATGCACGTTCATACAAAATCCGTCAAAATTTGCCCAACCCAAATTTCAGAAATTTCAGAAAGTTTAAGAAATGTCAACAGAGGAATTTGAAAACAGTCCAAAAGATACCAAATTTGGTGCACAGCAACCTTGACCGAAAACAAAAACAAGCAAAAAAAAAAATGTTAAAATAATAATAAAATAAAATAAAAAATTGACCCCCAAACTCTAATTTCAATTTTAGGCCCGTTGGGCAGGACCTGAAAATAGGGGGTCCCCGTTAACCATTAATGGGTCCCGGCCATCTCGATGATGCTATGTCAAGTCCGTTGCCCTTTTTTTTTTTTTCCCTAAAAAAAGGAACAATCTATCCAGGCACGCTATTCAAAGACTTTTTGTTCTTTTTCGAAGTTTTTCCTTCTTTTTTCCCTTTTTTTTTTTTAAATGGGCATCGGCCTTGAGATATCGTCATTGAGCCGACCCGACCCATGTAAAAAAATTCAGAAACATTGTTTTGTAATTGCATTCATCTCATCCCATCACATCGAATCCGGATTCGAACTTGGGTCTGATTCATATTTCAACAGCTTATGGGTGTACCAACAGAGCTATGCTTCTTGGTTCTGTTTGGTTCTTCTTATGATCAAGCCACCTTATTCAAAGCTTGGTTCCTGGGGCCAAGTCCCACTAGTAGCGTTGAGTTATCTGAACGCCTGAATCGGGACCTGTTTGTGGGGATGTGCAGTGGACGAAACTCAATGCGATTTCTGCACATCTCCACAAACATGTCTAGATTCGGGCGTTGAGGAAACTCACCGCTGCTGGTGGTGGGACTTGGCCTAGGGGAAGAAAAGTCGGAAATGTGTGAGGGAGGCATACGAGGAACATGCCTCTGCCCTTGGATCACATTATCCAGACCAGAGTGATGTGCCGTGTAGTTATTTGAGATATTTGTTTTAACCACTAGTACCTCCGAGCCTGTTTTTTTTTCTTCTGCCGAACCTGAATTTCACTGCGCTCTGAGTTTTGCCGAGGGTCCCACTCCATTTTCTTTACGGTACTCTCACGCGAAGAACAAAAAAAAAATACACAAATTTATCAACATTTATCGCTGATTACCCAAATCGCCAAATTTGTCAAAATCAATGCGGCAGAGGCTCGCCAGCACTTCCTTCGTTCCTGTCTCAAGAAAAAGAAACAAAGCTCTGGCCGTGATTGCAGTTGTATACACTCTTGGAAGTGGTAGTGTGAGTGTTCCCTCAATGAAGTGAGGGCATCTCAGCCCCGTGGCCAGGTTGTGTCAGATTCCGGAAAAAAAGCAGAAACAAGGAAAAAAAGCAGAAACACGGATTCGGCCGCGAAAATGTCTGGATGCATTCCTCTAAGTGCCAATGTGATCAGGGTTACAATTCTCTGAGGAAACACAGCTAAAGCAGATCAGGGATTCCGCCCTGCCTCGTTGGCAGGGGACTCGTAACAAACAAAAGGGAGAAGAAAAAGAAAATAACAAGTTTCAGAATGTGACCGTCTTTGCTATAAGATGCATTCTGTAGAGGAAGACTGTGAGCACGGCCTCCTAGACTACCCTGCCCGACATCATTGCAGCCCAGAAAGCTTTTTTTCTTTTTTTTCTTTCCTTTTCCTTTCACGCGCGAGCAAAAGAAAACTAAGATTTATGGGACTTGCTGACCCTGGGTCCCACACCTGAATTCTTTGGGTACAGGGTAAAACTTGTAATTTCCCAACACTGGCAGAGGTACAAGTGTGAGGATTGAGCCCTCAAGTAGGGGCCTTGCCATGTTGTACATGTTCTGGGCTAAGGCCCCAGCAAGCCTAGTGCCCGCCCTAAGTGAAGGCGGGCCAACAAATCAACAAGAGCCCTCTCGGCCAACATTTCACGAAGTGGGGTCTATACAGGTGCAGCACGCCAGTTGGTTGGAGTGCACCGAGTCTCGGATTTCAGCAAATGCTGAAATGCCCAGGTCCTCTGAGTTAGTTAGGCCCTGGGCACTTGAACGTGAGGCCGACAATGCATGCCAGGCATCGGCCCACTATCTGGATCTTGGCCAATGCTGGCACTTGCGGGCATGCTGCGCGAATGCATGTGTGCTGTGCTGTGCAAGGCAGTGCTGCGCTAAGAGCAAGCAGGCCAGCGCTAGGCGGTAGGGCGCTGCCTGCACAGAGGGCACTGGCGGCCATAGCCTGGGCCGCATGAGGGTGCAGGGGAGGTGAGGGCGAAGGTGGTACTTCGGAGGTGAAGGGCGCTTT